CACCCCATATCTGCTTCTATGGCGTAATAGGTAGGCGCGGTAGGTTGAGAGCCTGCTGGTGGAAACACCGTACCAGTTCGACTCTGGTTAGAAGCACAAAATTTCGGGTGTGTAGTCACGTATGGATCGTGAGTGGGCTGTAACCCCACTGTGCGCGAAAGCCACCAGCAAGGTTCGATTCCTTGTACACCCACCAGAATACTGGTGATAGTAACTCAGTTGGTTAGAGTCCCTGATTGTGACTCAGGAAGTTGAGGGTTCGATTCCCTTCTATCACCCCATTTGCACTGGAGAGATGGCAGAGCGGCTGAATGCACTAGCTTGGAAAGCTAGCAGGCGCAGAGAATGCGCCTCGCGGGTTCGATTCCCGCTCTCTCCGCCAAACTTGCATCTATGGCGTAATAGGTAGGCGCGGTAGGTTTAGATCCTACTGGTGAAAACACTGTACCAGTTCGAGTCTGAACGATGCACCATAACAAATTGGTTGAGTAGCGAAGTGGCTAAACGCCTCTGACTGTAAATCAGATCTCCCATTGGAGTTCGAAGGTTCGAATCCTTCCTCAACCACCATGCTGACATGGCGTAATTGGTAGGCGCGAGAGATTTAAAATCTCTTACCGTAAGGTGTCTGGGTTCGATCCCCAGTGTCAGCACCAAATTCTAAAGAGCATTCAAGAGTGTTCTTCAGAATTTAATAGAGGATTGGCTGAGCGGCGAAAGCAACAGTCTTGAAAACTGTAGGATGTTAACAGCGTCCCAAGGGTTCGAGTCCCTTATCCTCTGCCAAATTAAATAGTTAGATAATTCATAAATCCCGCTAGATATACAGCGGCGTTGGCTTGAGAACCTGAGTGAGGTTGAACGTTAGCGTATGTTGCATCAAAAAGCTTCATGGCTCTTTGCACGGCTAATGATTCGATATTATCAACGAACTCACACCCTCCGTAATAACGCTTGCCAGAATATCCCTCAGCATATTTATTTGTTAAGCATGACCCCTGAGCTTCCATGCAAGCTTTGGATGCATAGTTTTCAGATGCTATAAGTTCAATATGATGCTCTTGTCTTTCTTGTTCATTATTGATTTGAGAAAAGATTTCAGGATCTTTATTTCTTAAATTATTCATAATGGTCTCTTTTATTATTTGTACGCAGGATATTATACCATTAGATAGATGAAATTTGAAAAATAATCCCATAAAACCCGCTGTTAGACTATTTTATAAACAGTTTATTTTGACAATAGATTTCGACATTTTTCTAAAGCCTGCTTAAAACTCAAACCTTTAAAAGACTTATCTTTCGCACTTTTGATTGCGCAAACCAGTTCTTTATCATCAAATTTTTCAACTGCCGAATGAACCTCATTGAAGCTTGCTTTATATGTTCTGATAACAGCATTGTTCCTACTTAACATTTGAACTTTAGAGATGTTTTTAGGACTGTTATTCGTACAATAGTGGAAAGCATTATCGGCTTTCCCTTCAAAAAGCCTATTCTCTCGCAATCCTTCAGCGCAAACGATAGTGGAATCTTTATTGTTACTACAGTAGTCTAATCGTTCTTTTAGGTTTCCGTAGAATTCTTTGTGATTAGATAGACCTGACTCGCAAACAATGATATCTAAGGGTTTTTGAAGAGCGTATGAATTGAAAGAGATAATTCCAATTCCCACACAAAATATGGATCTTGCTATTGATTTCATTTTCTTATTCTTTATTTATTATTATTAATTAAATTATTTTTAAGGAATAATATATCAATGGTGACAAAAAATCAAAAATTGCACCATTGCTAATCAAGCAATGTTAACTTTCAACTCTAGATCACAGAAATGTTTGATGTGAATTAAATAATTACTATAATGAAAATAGTTCAAAGGTCACGAGACAAGAAATGAATCCTCAATATATTGATACAAAGGTCTATACCTCAGACATAGAAATAATGCGAATGTATGCAGAATTGTGCGGTAAGACAACTGACAACTTATCTGAACTCAAATTCAGGGAAAATCGAGTTGGCATAAGCATGTGGTCAGATGGTAAATGTATCGGCTTGTTTGCAAAAGGATCCTCAATAGATAGGAATAAGGGATACAAAGAAATAAGCGAGGAACAAGTACGAGATCAATTATTACAATTGAAGACTGAACACTCCATTAAATAATTTATTTTGTTCGTTTATAGAAAATATAAAGAGGGCGTGTTAACCCTCTTTTAATAATTGCTGAAAATTTAAAGTCTACATCACTAAAGTTGATTCTGAAGTTTTTTCTGTAGAGTATCTAGCTCGTTTGCTGACAATTGAATCTTCAAAGTTCTTTAGCTTGGCTGAGAATATTTCGTCAACCTCTATAAACTCAGAAACCTCATTAGTAAACTTTTTAGAAATTTCAGTCAATTGAGATTTTAATTCACTTGGCTGTAGACACAACGCATGAACAACAGCGGCGTTTGTATAGTCTTCGAATGCTCTACAGGCTTTCCAGCGCGTTTCATTTGGAATTTCA